TTTACCACTTTATGCTTAGCTCCTACTATAACATGCGGCAGATGGTAGTGAATAATAAATGTTTTTTAATGAATGAATGTAATACAGAAGGTCAAAGCCAAGTCCTGGTATACAGTTATACACGAGAAGATAGCTAGAGATGTCTGTCTGTAGTGAGACCAGAACAGGGGAAGGAGACTAAAAGTTATGCAAGTGGGGTTTAGGAAAGATGTTCCATCTGCGAGATGACAGATGATTAAGCATAAGACTCAATTTCAATGAAAATTATTGAATGATTCTTTCTGTAGCCCTTTAAAACTAGTATTCTTAATTTGGAATATGTAAATTGTTGTTTTGTGTAAAAGAAAGGAGATACACAAGTTCTCCATGAAACAGCATCATTTTGGGGGGATAAATAAGATAAACTTGAGTCATACTTTTCAAAGAATCACCTATGATCTAAATGAGGATGGTGTGTTTCTCCTATTTGCCATATTTTACAAATAATTCATTTTGATTTTTAGTTTTGTTTCATCACATGAGAAGCCAGATATTTATTTATCAAATTCTGCCATGTCCAAGCCTGGTGCATCCTCCATGACAAAACTACCTCAACAAGCTGAAACTGCAGATACTGTGAGAAGAAGCACTTCTTATTTTTCTTTTAAATACTGCCTGGATAGTTAAACTTTCAATAATTGCTGTTTATTTGACCCAAAATATAGATCCATTTACAAGAAAGAAAACAACAAAGTCTGTCACCAGTGATTGAAAAACTATGCTTCACTCACTCTGAAAAAATACCACGGTCTTCAAATTTTGTTGAGAAGGTGGATTGCTTTGTTAGAAACAGTGAAGAATATAAAAAGGAAATTGATTTCAGGTAAGAACTCTTTAAAAACATTTCAAGACTATAAATTAAAGCTTTTACAAATGAGTTCAGCATTCCTTTTTCCCTTGGTTAATTTTAAAGATCAGAACCTAAATGTGTTTTATTTACTTAAAGACATTACAATTTTAGACCCCTGTTAAGCTAAGCTTCATGAGGTAATTCAAAATATCAAATACCTCAATTTTTGAGAACCTGTGTTTGATGCTACTATTTAAAACATTATATTGTATTGATAAACACTTTTTTTTCCACTGATTTGAATACCGATTATAAATATAAAGTGTAAGGTCACTTGAGAAATTCAGAAGAGATTTTCAAAAGTTCAAGTTGTATTTTAGCCACCAACATCTATTATAACTACAGGTTCAAAGAAAAAGTCACATTAAGTCTAGTCTGCTCCCCTGCTGCTGGTCACTTTCATGGGTAACGCTAGCGGATTCCCTTTCCTCTTGAACAGTCAAGGTGTATAGACCTGCTGACACACTGATTAAGTGGCATTACTTTCCAATATGTTTAAAGAAGTATCTAAGATACTTGTCTCTACCTTTCACAGTTTATGAAGTCTGATTTCACCTCGCAGACTTTCTGCAAGGTTATACATATTGAAGTTTGTGTGATAAATTAACCTCTTATTAATCTTCAAGTTTACCCATTTTATATTTGTTATTACGTTATTTGTTGTGAATTTAAAAATAAATTGTGTTAAAAAAATGTTTATTTTTACATTTGCTTTTTTCCCTCCAGTAGGTATCATCCGAATGATGAAGCTGATGAAATGAAATCTTTTCTTTCAATATTTGATGGTATTTTCTAAAACAAACAAGAATGCTTTATATATTAATAAGACAAAGCTTAAAGAAGCCTAATTATAAAGCATGCTTTTAAAAAAAAGTAGTTCATAATTATTCAGATTTTTTTCTCTTGAATTTGAGCAGCTTTGTTGACTTTTTGGCAGCAAAATATTTGGACTGATGTTTTTTTCCCATCATATTGTAACTTCATGAAAAGCATTTTTACAGTGACTTTGTTTCTGAGCTGATAATTAAGTTTCATTTAGAAATAATTATGTTTATTAATTGGATTTTAATGGGAAACAATCTAATATTTCATTTTTATATTTTCTTAACAAGAGGAAAGGCATTCTGTGAAAGCAAAATAATGCTAGTTCAGTGAATCTATTTATTGTATAAATTTTCACCAATATTGTTTTGTTTTACTAGAGATTTTTCAGAATCCAGTGGCTGTCTAAGCCTGTTGTTATATAATTTTGAGCAACAATAAATAAAACATTAATCAATATAGATTGTTGTTTTCCCTTAGCTTGTTTTTCAGTGTGGTGGAAACTTTGTTATCTTGACTTTTACTATAGCAAAAGCTATTTTATGTTATTTTCCAATGAGTTGTATCAAATTTCTTTATTGATAAGTAGTATATAGGCCCTGTAAGCAATGTTCATTATCTAACTTATTTGTAGACACAGTGTGAACTTGAAGCCACTTAAGAAATTTTAGGAATTTTTCTTTAGGTGTAAAAGCTTTAGAGACAAGAGAAGTAAAGAAAAATGAGGTTGTTAGTTATTATTAGTTAATATTTATGAAGCATCATAGTATTAAACTTAGAGAAAAAAACTTAAATCTAAGAGGCTTTGTCTCTGTTGAAAAATAAGAACAACCAGTCCTTTATTTTAGTCATCTTTACAGTTGGTGTTTCTGCATCTGAATCAATCATGCTACAACCTTTAAAGGTTATTAAACACCATTAAAATGAAAAATTGGTGTACTGCAGTCTGTTCATCTTGCATACAGACTTTGACACTAAGGAAATCACAATTTAATTCAGCAAGACTTACTGTGATGTGCTCAGTGAAAAGCACTGTGCTTGGTACTGCAAAGGGACCCAGATGATGAAAATACCGTTTTTCCTCTTGTGGAGCTTACGTTACGTTCTGGTGGAGAAATTAAGACCTATAGTAAAGCAATAATAAAGTATAGAATACATTAGAGGAGTGGTTCTCAAGCTTCAAGGGTGTTTTGGAATCTTCTAAGAGAGCTTGTTTGGAAACAGGTTCCTGGGCACCATCCCCAGTTGCTGACTCAGTGGGTCTGGAGCGGGGCTTGAGAATTTGCACTGCTACCAAGTTCCCAGGCGATGTCAGTGCTGCTGTTCCAAGGACCACGCTCTACAAGCTGCTGCAGTAGAGGTTAAAGAACTGTGGGATTTCATAGGAGGGAGAGTAAAATCTTGATCATGGGGTCAGGGAAGCCTTTTAGAGGAGTTAAATTTCAGCTGAGTCTTGAAAGATGAATAAGATTTTGACGGGCAGAGTCTTATGACAGAAGGAGATTCTAGGCCGAGGGAGCTGCTTGAGCAGTTCAAGGGAGGAAAGTATCTATTTGGGGAAAAATGAATAGACAATTTTAAACATAAGTTACTATTGTAGGAGCTGTTTCAACTATGTCTTAAGGCCACACTGTGGAGGGCTTTAGATGTTAAAATAAGAAACCTGAGCTTTACTCAGCAAACTGTTTCTCAGACTTACCTCACTGTAAGAAATATATGGATAATGTATTAAATGTACAAACTCCTAGACTTCATCTCAGAGCTACTGGCTCAGACTCTGCAGTGGGCAGGACTGGGAATTCTGTGGAGTTAACTAGCACTCAGTCATTCTCTATGATCAGGCCAATTTTAGAAACACTTGGGTAGATAATAGGTTCACTTCACAAGTGGTCAAGATGAATAGCAAATTCCTTTGTGCAGGTGTTTACCGGGGAAATTATGTGTATATTAAATATATGTAACTCAACAGCCCTGTTACATGCTGACCACCTAGCAGAGTACAGTCGCTGGGTATTCTTTCCATGAAGTGAATAATAACCTTCAGGTTTTCTATTTTGTAACTTATGTTCTAAATGTATTGGGTGTATTTATTCATGCAGAATGAACCACACAACAGAGCTTTCACAAAAATCTTTGTTGGGTTAAATTTTTTCAGTTTTTTTCAATTAAAAATGTCCTTAATTGGCTGTATTTTTCCTCATTTGTAATGTTAGTTTAATGGCAGGTACCTTATAGGTATGGAGTGAGAATTGAACAAGCCACTGCATAGGAAGTTCTTCGTTTAAGGACTGATACATAGTACGTGCTCAGTGAATGGTAGCTGTTCGTACTAAAAAGAAAGTGTCCTCAAGGGCAATTTTTAAATAACCCATTGGGAAGAGGTGAAATAATGCCATGCTCATTTGTCATATTTGAGTTGCGTTGTTGCATAAGACTTGACAAAGGAACTCTTGACTTTCCACAGATTATCATCCGTGGAAAAATTTTAAATCATAGCCCTCCCTCCTACATATACTTCCTCGTGCTTTCATGAAGAATGGGCTTCCATCCCCATTCCCTCCCTGCCAACATGCTTAGTTGGTTTATGGTCAGAGCATACTAATCTGTTTTAATATTACCTTAAGTAAAATGTAATTATAAAATAAATATTCTGCATGTTCTGTTGTAATACATTCCAAATGCAAGATTGCTGGATCATTCACTCTTAGGTTTGGCACAGCTTATTCCTTAGCAGTCTATGCAAAGAGTTGCTTCACCAAGACCCCATTTCTAGAACACACCCTCAACTAGCACAGAAGGGAGCACCCTGGGAGGGTGACATTTACCATGCATCCTAGGTGAGGACAGGTGTGTGCACAGAAGGCACCAGTGAGGAGGACGTCGGGGAAGCTAAGCTTACAGTTCAGCTAAGTGAGCCGAGAGTTTCATGTGGGCTTTGCTTAGTTAGTGGAACAAACAAAACGGAAATGCTGGCACTTCTTATCTTCTGGCATTTCAGCTCCTGGCTGCCAGTCGTTAAAAGATCTTGCCACTCAGAGTCTGATCTGAAGACCAGTAGCATGGAGAGCCCTGGGTAGGTCTTAGGCCTCGCGCCAGGATTTCCGAGTCAGAATCTGCATTCTGACAAGATCCTCAGGTGATCACATGCACACTGAAGTGTGAGAAGCCCTTTTTAGCTGGAAAGGAGAAGAAAGGAGGCAGCACCGGAACTGTAAGGGAAGCCATCCCAGAAGAAAAGTGCAAGAGCAACGACAACGGCGCAGTCTCCTGTCGGGTGAGTGTAGACGGCGCGGTCCCTGTCGTGAGTGTAGCGTGAGGCGTAGCGTGAGGCGTAGCTCTCGTCTAACTGCCTTTCAGGACAGGCGGTTTTCTTCACCAGCCGCATAAATTATCTTTGTAATTCTCGTGCATCAACTGGGTGTTTTGTCATGTAGCTTGAAAGGCACTTGGATGCTCTGTAGAGTTTTAATAAATGAAATAAAAGCAGATATTCAGAAGAGCAATCTTTGTCTTTCTTATTTGCACATTTCAATTTGGGAGCCTTTCCCTAAACTAACATCTGCCTCAAATGCCCTGCGTACTTCAGCAAGACAGGGAAACAAAACCCAGACACACAGAGCGTTCTGAAAGGTTTAGAAAAATGTGCACAGACCTGCCGTCACGTCTTACATGTTGTCGCTATGAAATACTTCATTACAAAAGGAATTACAGTTCAGCTGACACTAGCATTTTTCCTCCATAAGATAGTAAATGGTTTCAATCCTTTAGAAACTGCACACATGATGGAGTCATCCTTTTTTCTTTAGTTTTTAAATCAGTTTGAAATGTAAACTTTTACCATTTAGAATATTTTTTAATCTAAAAGAATTTTACTACAATGTTTTTTCTCATTTCCAGTTTATTAAAACTTTAGCAGGCCAAATTATCCAGGTTTCAGATTACCAAAAGATCAACTCAGTGAAGTCCACATTAAAAAGAAAGCCAAAAACCTAAAAACTGAAAAGAGGAAGCTAACATAAAGGAGACTCATCAGCAAGTTTCTAAACTTGAAAATCGAGAAGACTGGGAACTAGTTCACACAAGTCCCTCATCCACGTTGGCCTTCGTTTGTCCCAGGGCTTGGCGCGTGACCGCATCTTCAGGTTTTACCACGTGCACGGTCACCTTCTTGATCGTTTAACTTTTGGTTTCCTTTTCCGCTGAGGCGCTGGCCTCCTCGGCGCCTTGTTGTTCGACGTGGAGAACTTGGCTTGTTTTCCTGACGACTCTTTCTTCTGAGCGTGGACCTGATCGCGGCTCCCTGCCGTCACGTGAGCTGTGAGCGTGCGCGCTTCCCTCACCCCAGAGCCCGCTCCTTCCTCGGTTCCCCCGCCGCCTCTCCCAGAGCTCGCGGCCCCCTCTCCTCTCCGCCCGCCCGGCTGCTCCGCGCGGGCCGCACCCTGTCGCCGCTGCCGGTATTCCCGCTCGTTCCCGCCTGGGCCGCGCGTCCGTCTGCTCGCGTTCATCATGAGCATGCTCATCGCGGTTCGGTTCTAAATTGCGGCCTTCGCGTCTGCTCCTTTCCTGGTCGTTTTCTCTGGAATCAGACGTTTCTCTGACGTTCTCGTGCTCCCTTCCTTTGCCCCTTGATTTCATGTTCTTTTCCTCACGTTGGTTATGCTCGCAGCGCCTTCCTCACTCTGATTTCTCTTCGCTCTTACTCATCCTTTTAGATCCGGCCCTTTTCTCTTTTCTTCACCTTGTTTTTGTTACATTTGTCACTTTTTCCTGCATTTCTTCTGCTGTCTCTCTCTTTGCCGTTAGACTTACGTTCTTTAACTTTCTTTTCCTTTTTGCTTTTCCTGTTTGGACTCTCACGCACGTGACCGTGATCGGTTGCCGTTTTCTATTTTTACCCTCGCGGGGCTTCTTTGATTTTCTTTCAGCTCACCCTCGTCTGCTTTGATCCGCCTCTCACCACTCGATTCCCTCACTCGTTCGACACAGTGAGTCAGCAACTGCTCTCTACGCCCACTGTATCATGAACCAGTCCTACCAAGATGACACGACCAGGCCGCGTTTCAGAGGGTTCATGGTTGATGATCCAGGTAACCATGATCAACGTGCAACAAAAATACGTGGCCCTTCAAAGTTACCAAGGTTTTTAAAAAATTAACATCTTCATCAAATTATGTTACCCAACGCCTCTGACTTCAAGCTTTTCTGGGCTCTAAGTAAGATTTACAGTGTCTGGATTTCTTAAGGAGGTAACATGCAGACAGTCAGATTTTACAAAAAGGAAAGCTACACATTCTTTTGGATAGTGGATTATAAATTTAAGAAGGTGGGGCTAGAGGATGGCGTGAACTTGGAGAGGAACAAGAGAGCACTGAGGGGACATACTGACAGACAGGTTGAGGAAGGAGAAGAAGAACAAGGAAAGTGTAAAGAAAAGACGCTTCCTCATCCAGCAGGATAGTGTTAGGATCATTCATATGCATAAAATTCATGTAATTATCATAATTTGGGCTGAAAGGAAATTATAAAATCAAATGCTTACCAATAGTATATCAAGTAGCCCATATTTTTAACTAAAGAAAAATGTTTTAGTTGGGAGACTTTCAATTCATTATGGAAAATTAAGTATTTAAAATATACGTTTAGATGAAAATGATAAAACGTGCACCCCTCCCTGCTTGGACGTATTTTGATGCATTGACCTGTCTTGTTTGTTTATTTGTTTGTTTTGTCTGCTGTTGCCCCCGCACGGAGGCAGCCAGGCTATGTAGTAGACAGTCCTCAAGGGAGGGTGTTGAATCCCTAATTTTTTAAATTTTAAAAGCCACAATCCAGACTTGAGACCAAAGAATTGGAAAAATACCTGATGGGTCAACATCTGTGTTCTCTGCCCCTAGGACTGAAGAGTCTGTAGACTTGTGAGAAAGGAGAGAAGCCAGGGAAAGTGAAGATGCCAGGTACCTGAAAAAGGACCTGTGCCCAGCTTGCCCCTGGATTCATCTGAAGAGGGTGTGGTAAGACTTAGGCAATAATAAAACACTCCTCTCTGCATGATTTTGGAGATTCCAGAGCAGAAGGAATGTCACTTTCCCTACTTTGAGAAGGCGCTCAGACCCCCGCGTTCTCCCTCACTGCCCCGTTGTCCATGGCACGGGAGGGACAGAGCGGCAGTGGCGGGCAGTGTGGGATGCTGGAGTTGAGACGGGGGCAGAGATTAGCTCCCAGGGGCCCTTTGTGCCCCAGGATGGCACACGGCACAGCAGGAGCATCTCCCGGGAGCCAGGGGCTAGGAGGGGCTGCGGGAGGGCCTCTGGGGCCTGGCTGCTTGTCTCACTCTCCCAGAAGTCTCAGGAGCTGGTGTCCACCACAGGGACACCGGGACGCACATGTCACCAGCCAGGCGCACAGACAGGGTGCCAGCTGGCCACCGGGCAGCCCCGGGGCCTGCGTGCAGTCCCGTGTAAGCGGACGGGCCTTGAGTTGACTGGGATTGTTTTCCCAGCATCCAGTGGAAGAGGCGCTTGAAAGAAATTGAAACTTAACATTCCTTGCATCCTGGAGCAAATGGGCTGGGATTTATACCCACTATATTATTCACCGTGATAGATTTTGAAAGAAGTTCGCTTTCTAATATTATTAGTAACAAATAATGTCTTTTTCAGATTCAATATGACCTGTCAAAACGTTACAAAACACTAATCTCAGCTGGTGTAAAATTCAGATCTGAGTCTCAGGCAGGTGCTCAAATGTTAAACATACTTTCTTTTTTAAAAAACCTCCCACCGTAACTACACCAGTACCAGCTAAGGTTACCGAATATGTACTGTGTGCATAGATGACATACTTAGTTTAATCCTTTCAATAATCCTGTGAGGTAAAGTCTCTTGTTATGTACATGTTTTATATGTGAGGAAGCTAAATAAATTGCAGGAGGTCACAAAGCTTGAATTTCTGTGTAATTCAAGAACCCTTTGCACAACTGTTCTGCCATTCTGCCTAGAAATGAATGAAATACTGACTAGTCTTTAAAGTCACACAAAATCATCAAAATCCATGTTTTTCCTAATCTTTGAAGTTTTTCTGTTGGAGAATTTAAGGCAAATTCAAGAGGGCTCTTAGCCAAGACACCCCACATAGTCTTAGGATCCAGTTTAACTCCAGTTTCCAGAGAAGCAAGACGGCTGTGACCTTCTCTTTAGAAAGCCTGGTCACTGTCCTGGCCGTTCCCCTTTGCGGCTCACCTGGCACGATCAGTAGGTACTTCTTCTCCCCATTTGGCCCTGACCCCGCAGATCAGTGTCCTATTTTTCGGTTTTCACGCTTGAGCTTCTGTGCTTTAGTCTGCTTCCTGTCCTGCCCCCCGACCCCTGAAGTCTACTTGTTTATCCTTCCTAGGTCAGTGACTTCATTTTGAAACCCAGTATTTTGCAGAGAAAAAAAAAAAAAAAGGCGGCCCTGTTTTCAACAAAATCATTTTCGTAAAGGCAGCTTGGTTTTGTCTGCCAGAGCGATGTCATAAAGTTCTCTCTGCTGTCAGTGAAAACTAGCCTAAATAAGAAATAGACGAAACCCAGACTTTGTGACCTTTTCCAGGATAACAGGGCTTCAGAAACATCCACTTGAAATGCGACTCTCATCTTGCCATTTTCCCCCATAATAAATAGTTATGGTGATTTTTTTTCCCCACACCTCTCATCTAGAAATATATTGTTTTGAAGAAAAGTTTGAAAGTTAAACACAAATCTCACTGAGAGTATTTGATGTCTGTCTTATAAAACTGTGCCTGAATAGAGTTGTTCCTGAAGTTCTGCTTTTGACCTTAAATTAAAGTTTAAAGAAAGGAAAGGGATTATTACTTATTATTAGATTTTTATGTAAAAAATTATGAACTTTCAACGTATAAATTTCAGGTTTCCCCAGCAGGCGTTATTACTTCCTCTGATTGTCTTTTCATTTTCCTGTGCTGTCCATCAACCCACTGCTTCCCATCCTTCTGGGATTTTCCTCAATTTCTGTTTGCATTACAATGTCATGTTTCTCTTATTTTAAGTGATTTTAATTTCATTTTTAATATATAGTGAGAACACACTGTAATAAGTTCATTTCACTACTTTTCACTCTCAAAATAACTTTGTCTTTTGAAATTTTTGCCTCCTAAAATAAGTCAAGCATTTTAGACTCTTCATAGAAAGAAATTTCTCTTTTCTCTTTGAATTTTTTGTATTTATAGAAAAGAGTTCCATATGTCCAAACACTTTTCTAAAGTCATGGTGTTTAGTAAAATAGAATCTTCAGTGTAATAAACATTTCTCCAGTTGGATATTTCTATTTACAAAATTAAGTGAATTAATTTATGGCTTTATGTTTTTATGCTGGAAGAAATATTATTTTCTTTCTTTTCTTTCTTCACAGTAGGAAGAGCTCTGTTGGGTGTTTTCTGACTAAGAAAGTAGCATGTGCTTATTTACAGCACCTAGACTATGAAAATAACTCAGCAATAGACGCATAGCAACACAGGCCTACAGAACATAGTACTAGGTGAGAGATGTTAAGAAATAGAATGTGAAGCTATCTAAGTAAGTTTAAAACACCTGTGCAAAAAACAAAAATAAATTTTGTAGAAATATGTGCAAACATTTATATCCTATGACTTAGAATCGTTGTCAATGGTGGAAGGGTGGTTTGGGTGATCTAAACGGGAAATGTGGATAATAGAATAAAAGAAATTTCAGACAACCTCCCTCAAACCCACCACTTACAGATCACCGTAGGTTGCGTATTTTGGAGTACAGTCAGCCAGATACACCCACACACACACACGCACACACTTCAAAGCGGGGTTATAATCTGCTTTTGGTCTTTGTTTTCATTTAGCAATACGATAGGTGATACATAATCATTTTCCATGTAGCTCATGCGTGGATGTGCATGACTTACTGAATGACTACCCTATTGATACATACTCAGACTGTTTCCAGTTTTTTTAATAACTCATCTTGCAATGAGCATTCTTACACATACATCTTCATCTATTTGCTTTCACTAGAAATGCACCTTTAAATTATTGAAACAGGTTGTCAAACTGCCCTCCAGAAACACCATTTGACATTCCCAATATGGAACTTTCCGATTCCTACTGAGTAAAACTTGTAAAACAAACCAACAGAAACAAAAGTATCTCCATGTTCCAGCCATCGGAAGGTCCAGATCTCAGCAATAGAGTAAATTTACTCTCAGAGTCCTTTCTGTCCCGTGGGAGACCAAAGACTACAAAAGCATGTTACTGTCAGCTCGCAGCTGACAGGCAAGCACTGGCTTCCCCTGACCTGAGCGTCAGGGACTGAGCGAAGCACAGCGGCCAGGACGCAAGTGGAGCTGCCCTCGGGCCGTTTCTATGACTCCGTCTAAGCGGTACGTCACCTTTTTTGCCCTTGTGTATGTATCAGAATCCTGAAGTTTATAAAATCAAAGCCTTTGATTACTAAGAGTGGGACTTGTGTTCTAAGCAATTATGAGTTCTCTGTTTTTCAGTCTGATTCTTAAAGTGCCTTTTAAATTCTCTTGAAGGTCCTGACTTCATTAGTAACCTTATGTCCCAAACAGTCAAATAAGTTTTCAAACACAGCTACAAAAGGAGACAGCACCCACCCCCGGCCCCCCCTGGGGGCTTCCCGCAAGCCCGTGAGCTGCAGGGCCCTGGGCTCCTCCCTCCAGCCTGCGGTGCCCGTTCCCACAACTGGGACGTGGACACGTCCACTCGACACCGCCTCCAGGATCCAGAGCAGGTCTTCTAACAAATACTTACTAGTGAGGTAACTCACAGTAATAATTAGGAGTAACAAATGTGAGTGTCCGGAACCCAGTAAATACCCATTCAGTGGTAGCAATTGTCAATACTAAGATAAAACATAGGGGTGTTGTTGAAGGAGAGAAGCAGAAAGCAAAAAATTTCAGACAGTCCTGATGGCTGGCGAGAGCCCCAGTTTCGGTGCTGGGGCCAGAGTGCGTCTAGAAACGTGGGAATTCACACGGACTGGTTAGAGGAAGAGAGGGAGTTGCTCTGAATTAGGCTCAGCGTTCAGGGCTACCAGCAGCTTCTCTGAACGGAAAACACCCATGTGGCCTTTAACAATGTGTGAATGTGAATAATCACCTCCTCAGGGAAAGTCCTTAAGCTTTTCCCACCCAGTATCATCGCTACCCCCAAACCACATTGCAGAAAGAATTGCTAAATACCTATTTTCCTAATGCTACTAGGTGGCAGAAATTTAAGTTGATAATCTTTTTTCAAGGCATATCTTTATTAAAGGGGAATTATTCAAAGCCATCTGAGCGGTAACTTTGAACCAAAGGCTAACTGACCTGATAAACCTACTGTGGGTCAGTGGCCCCACAGCATCAAAGAGGAGCATTTTCAAATGAAAAAAAAAAAACTCCAAAAGGAGTTTCTTTAAGTGAACTTAAATTCTTAAATTTAGTGAGTCTGATTTATTTCTTGCACACAGATATTATATTACTAGATATTATATTGCTGGAGAAGCTGAGCTGGGATAAAAAGAGACAGACTAATTCTCTGAGGATACGGAAGAATCGTCTGTTGATCGCTCGGAGGAAGGCACTATATAAATTACAGTATAACAATACTGCCTCTTTCTGATAACACAGCACCGAAAGAAGAATTCGACCTGACAAGAAGTCGAATCTACTGTCACACTGTTTTGATCCTCTTGCTGATGTGACAAAGTGCATGCTGATACCTGCTTTTATTTGATTAACTGTGGCTGCTCTGGACGATGACTTGTCCCACTTGAAGTACTGACTGTAACCGTCTGCCACTGGTAATATCTGTGGGCCCTGTGACCGAGCAAGAAGCATGTAACCCACACCCTGCAGGCAAAATCAGGCCCGCGAAGATACCCGCATTCTAACCCCCCACGTCTGCGACCACATCACATAACACGGCAAAAGGGACCTGGGAGATGTGAAGTTAAGGCTCTTGAGGTGGGAGGTCAGCCTGGCTTTTCTGAGCCCGATGTGCCCACCAGTGTCCTTACAAATGAAGGGAGGAGGCAGGAGAGCTCGAGCCCGAGGTGACGTGCAGGTGGAAGCCAAGCTCAGAGAGAAAGCAAGGGGGAGATGGGTGTGAAGACGCTCCGCCGTGGCTTCCGTGGCGGACAAGGGCTCACACGCCCAGGGATGCAGGTGGGCTCCCGAAGCTGGAAGAGGCGAGATAATGGGTACCCTCCTAGAGCCTCCGGAAGGAACGTAGCCCTGGATTTCAGAGTCAGGCAACCTTGATTTTAGCCCAGCAAGACTGACTTTTTGGACTTCTGACCTCCAGAATTGTAAGTGATAAATTTGTGTTGTTTTAAGCCACTAAGTTTGTGATAATTTGTTATAGCAGCAATAGAAACTGCCGCAACACCTCTGGGCTCATGGCACAGAGCCACACTGGTGTCACTGTAACTGAACTGAGACAGCTTCCTGTGCCTCTAAGCCAAGACGGCGCTGTGACCATAAGCCAGGGAGGCCCTCAGCAGAAGCTCACTTCGCTTCTGTTTATCTTCAGCCCTTTTGAGAAATGGAGTGTTAGCGAGGGTTCCTAAGTATTGAAAGAAACCAGTCCTTTCCTGAATTTAGTTCCCCTCTCTTAGGTTTTTAAAACCCCAAAACATTTTCCAAAAATGTATTTACAGCTCTACACAATGACTTTTAGTCAACTTGGCCTCTCATCTGTACTCAGAACTAAGTAAGAGGAGACCACAGGTTGTTCACAAAGGCTTTAGAACGTGGCACGATGTCTTCACCGCTGTCACAAGCTTTGGCCACGTCCTTGCGCTAATAGGCTGTGCTTGGAAAGAGCTGGAGGCAGCTGATCAAAACCTCACACCGGGGCCAAGGGGTTGAATTATGAGCGTATAAGCAGCCGCGGTGCCGAGCAGCACTCACCTCCCACTAAAGAGCACTTGTGTTACGCAGTTACCCCATTCTCACCATCCCTGTTTTCAGGGGAGGAGATTAAAGCTTAAGAAGTGGCACCATCTCCACACCACCTACAACTGACTGCCTGTGGGTCTGATGGACGCCAAGAGTGAGCTGTCAATCACGACTCTACATCCCTCCTCCACATCAGAAGCCCTACGGCTGACAACCTGGCAGGTTTTCTGTATGACAGCGTCACGGCACGTTTGTTGTTTTCTGGATGTTCTAAGTGCGCTACCCCAGCAGGTTCCTGAGGACGCAGGAAGTGTGTGCTAGAGGAAGCCTGTACTTTGTACCCGACGCCAGGCACAGTCCTGCGGCCACACGCAGTCAGGGGATGGGCAGCTGGGAAGTGCAGGCGTGGCTGTCCCATGCAGCACCCTCGCTCTCATGGGCCCAGTGGAAAAGCTCGCTCACTGAGGTCACAACAGTGACTCCTTCAAAAGTAAGGAAGCAATGGAAATGACGAAGTGCACAGTTTGATGCTGACCACTGCAATGGTTCCACCGAGGAAGAAAGGCTGGAGGAGCCCGATGAGGTCCGTCAGACTGGGTAGCAAGCCTGGCGAGCGTGGACGAGGCCGACCAGGATGACACACACCCAAGATCTGGAGTAACGCAAGTCTTGGAGGAAGACTAATGCTCAGAACCAGAGAAAAATAGTAAGGAAAACGAGAAAGTCAGAGTGGGAAGAGTTTTGAGAAGGGAGTGGCCCCCGGTCTGACAGTAATGGTGTGAGGCTGGCAGGACCTCTCTGTCCCATCGTGCTACCTTTTAGTACGTTTTCTGGGTAAGAAGATGGCTCGTCAGACTTGACTGGAAAAGGCGTAACGAACGTTGATGAGAAGGACTTGGAGCCCCAATTTAATCAAGATTCCGCAGCTGAACCACTGCATCCCAGGGAAACGTATATCGCCTGGGAAACAGGCCTGGGAGCCAGGGAGACCTAGCGTCTACTTTGTTCTCCAAGCAAGTCACTTAGCAGATTTAAATTTCAGTTTCTTCACCTGTAAAGTTGGGATAACGGTGTGTACCTAAAGGGCTGGGGAGACACTTCAATGTCTCATATAAAACACTGTAACACAGCACCTGGCGCATGTTCAATGCTCGATGCGCGGTAGCTCTTCATTTCATTATCATTATTTTACAGACTAACTAGTTGAAATGACATCAAAAGTCTTTAAGAAATTGTGAGGAATAAATACTATGAGTAAGTAAATAGTCAATAAAACCAGAACTGATTGTAGTAAAGACAGTTTTGAAGCGTTTCCAAAGTGAACAGCCATCCCCAGCAGTAGTGTGGGTTCAGTACGAATAAACCACGCCAATAATGCAATTCCCTTTTTCTGAAGGGCAATATACTGGAAATTAGAACAGTTTTGTAGGCAAAGAGTGTTGGAACTTCAGCATGGCCCAGAATTCAAGGCATCGTTATGAAAGAACTATGGACTTGTTGTTTTGGGTAAGAGGATTTTTAACTCGTTGAATAATCCGAACAATGCTAGTTAGGAAATGTTATACATTCAGAGGAAGGTTTCCAGGAGGGACAACTTAGAGGTTGGTCCTTCAGCCCTAAACTGTTCAACATTTTCACCAATACCTTTTATGCTAACGTCGTCAGCCTGGAGATCGGTGAAAGAAGGCTGAGTTACTAAATTAGGATCAAAAAATTCTCATGTGGCTGAAACACAGACCAAACCAAACAACACAAAATTTGCCCACAAAAATTCTAGTCTTTCACTTTGGTTCAGTATCAGACTTTATAAGCAGAGCATGGGGTACATGCCTTAGCGGTTTGTATTTTTTATAAAAAGCAAGGTCAGTACAAGTCAACCGTGCAGCTTTGCTTCCACCCCTGGGGATATTCAAGCCCAGAGAAGAAATGACCTGGCCGGACCTGAGGGGTTCACTGTCGCTGTGTGCGAGCCTGCACTAAACGGCCGCTGAGATTCTAGGAGCAGCTGTTCACTGGAGCCTGGTGTGTTCTCTGTCCCACAGCTGAAGTGGCCTCAGGATCTAGATGGCCCAGCAGAGCCCACGGTGACAAAGGTGAGGGAAGACGCATCCTAAAGAGAGGCCAAAGGGCCGCAGGTGGGCCTTCCCTGCTGCTGACCAGGGGTGGGGCAGCCGCGGGGCCCACGGGGGCTAGGGTGGGGGCCTGAGCGGGGTGGCCGCAGCGCAGGTGCAGGTCCGGCTGCCGGGACTCACGAGCCCTCCCTCCCCTGCGTGACGGAGCTGAGCTGACTTGGGCTGCCGCCCACGCGCAGTAGGGTTGACATTAACTTCCTCTTTCCTTGACCCTTTCAAGGGAAGACTGGTTCACGGTTCAGTGCACGTTTTTGAAAAGGAATAGTGTGTGGCTGGTGGTGAACAACTTCTGCCCATCCCCACTCCGGAGCCCCTCTCAAACTTCAAGGTGCATGTGCAGCAGCTGGGGATCTTGTTAAAACGCAGATTCAGATTCAGCAGATCTGGGTAGAGCCTGAGTCTCGGTTTCCAAGCTCTCAGGCGACGACGATGACCAAAGCCCATAGTTTGAAAAGTAAGGGACTAGCAAATTTAAAACGGAAGCGAAGTGGATATAGGGTAGCGGGAGCCCACACTGGCCGCTCACTAGAATCACCAAAATACTGACATCTGGCCTGATCGAGACCAACTGAATGGGACTCTCTGGAGATGAGGCACGCTTTTCAGCTTCCCCATGATTCCTACTCTCTAGATTGACTGGCTGATGCATCTAAGCAGCTTTGGAACTAAGAAGCTTACTTTTTGTAATAAAAAAAAAAGAAGATACAGATATATGTGTGTGTATATATATATATAACTTATGTATGTAAAACTAAGAAGCTTTGTGACTTAGATATACATAAACTACAAAACTTCTTAAGTATCACTATATATGTGTGTATGAGTTATAAAAACATGTATAATTTAACATATAAATAATTTCTGGGGGAAGTTTCCATTAAAACCATATATATATAATAAATATATATATAAACACATAATACAGGAGGTACAGGAGCTCCTAAAGCCCCCTCTATCGTAGTTGTAAATATAGTTGGCAAATTAGTATCTAGTGTATGGTTAAGAAATATGTCATTCCAAATGTGAGAACTTTCATGATAGTATTAGACAGTGGTTCCTACACATCACTGTATTAAAAGTAAACCATGGATACCACCTTATACCCAGTAGGATGGCTACTATTTAAAAGAAAAGAAAAGAAAAGAAAAGAAGTCTTGTTGAGAATATGGAGAAATTCGTACCCTTATTGGTGGGAATGTAAAATGGCACAGCCACTGTGAAAAATAGTCTTGCTGTTCCTCAGAAATTAACCATAGAATCACCACGTGACTCAGCAACTCCACTCCTGGGTATATACCCAAAAGAACTGAAAGCAGGATCTTGAAGAGTTATAGTCATACTCATATAAATATATTCATAAATAGAACATATTCATATTCATATAAACTCTGTTTACGGCATTATTCACAGTAGCCAGAAGGTAGAAGGAACCCAGGTATTCAGCTACAGATAAATGCGTAAGCAAGAACGATTTATAGATACAATGAAATATTATTAAGTCTTAAAAAGGAAGGAAATTCTGACATATGTTGCAACATGAATGACCTTGAGGACAATATGCTAAGTGTAATAAGCCAGACACAAAAGGATAAGTACTGTATGATTCCACTTATGTACCTAGAGTAGTCAATTTCACAGAGACAGAAGATAGAAAGGTGGTTGCCAGGGACTGGGGAAGGGGGAAGTTTCGGTGGTGCAAGATAAAAGAGTTCCGGAAATGGATGCTGATAAAGGTTGCACAAAAATGTGCATGTTTAATACTACTGGACTGTACACTTAAAAGTGGTTAAGATGACAAATGTTATATGTATTTCACTATAATTTTTGTAAAAAGTAAACCAATGTAAAATCTTAAATATACCAAGAGCAACTTTGCACTATAATCTAATATGGATAATATATTATTATTACTTTGTATTTTGTGTCGTTACAATTTTAATACTGATAATGATATTGGGAGATGCACAGGGCAGACATGATCTCTATTTTTAAAGTTAATGAAACTGAGGCTCAGAGAGACAAGACTAGAGCTCGGGACTCCTGACTCAAGGACTGGTATCACTTCCTTCCATCTCTTCCCTGGCCACACTATGCTGCTAGTGGCTGGGTTTTTAGGGGTGTGTGTGTGTGTGTGTGTGTGTGTGTGTGTGTGTATGTGTGTGTGATAGTTATTTACATTAATACTGTGCTTGGATGTTTTTGCGATTATAAACATCTCTGATAGGTTGATGCGGGAGGGCTGTTTGTCTCTTTGCCAAGCTGGTGACAATTTAATGATAGTATTGTCAACCAGTGTCTTCGATGCTTTCACATTTATCAGACAGTATAATCATCTCTACTATGCCAGTTGCTCACACACCAGAAATGAGCTCCAGGAACAGACCATCACTCTGACAAGGATAATAGGTCATTATTACCAAATCAGCAGCACAGTGCTTTAAAAATAAACGACCCTGCTTCCCATCATTATTTATTTTTCATAAGCGCCTCAGGTTTGTCTTAGCATCTAACAGCAGGAGACAATTATCTCATGACATTCTTCTATTTTTTAGCAGATCTTAAATGGTCTTAAATGGTAAATGGAGCGTTTCTGCTCACCCCGATCAGGAAGCCTGGGTGGTTTTACAGGAGCTTTAACAGGAAATGGGTCGAGTTCGTGTTACCTGCACAGCAGACACATACAGTCTTTTCCTTTCCATCCAGTTCTGTCCAGAAAGAATGGCCAGCGAGGAAGGTGGGAGTGGAAGGGGAAAAGGAGAAGAGCTATGTACTCATCCCATGAATTAAGGTGAGTTTTTAATGTTCTCTTCATGCTGCCTGATCAGCATCAGCGTGTGCAAACAGCCCCCAAAGCTCTCCCTTCCCTGTGGGAGTGTTTTAAAAGGGGAAGTCCTAACTCATAAAAGGAAAAATTCTCCTCCTCTTGCCAAGGACTCCCCCACCTCTTCCTCCGTCAGCCAGGACAGCCTGAGGGGGCTGGACACCTGCTCTACCACCTGGCAGGAGGCTCTGCGCAAAGGAAGAGCAGCCCCCGGCCCAGCCCGGAGCCGGAGTCTCGGTACATCACCCCCGGCGGGAGGAGGGCGCGCGGGGCCGGGGCGCTGGCGTCCCGCGGAGGGGAGGGGGGCCCGCCGAGGAGCCCGGCTTCCTTCCCAGCCGAGAACCGTCCTCTCAGACGTGGCCGCTCGCTTTCCAAACAAAAAAGAAGCTTGTAGCTGTAAGAGGCCGCGGTGGGCTTCCTGCTCCCCCACACTTTTAGAAGCAAAACCTATTTATGAGGCTTTATTAAGTGCAAATAAGTCCCTCGGCTTCAACGGAGAAGCAGCAGCTGCCGAAGACGTGGTCATTTGCATATAAATGACATGATTTCAGCTCCGAGAAGAATATTGAAACATGTACCTGTCGAAAATGGAATCCTGATAGAGTCACACATATTAAGGTCAGATATTGTCGTTTTTAAGGCTGCTGCCTGCGGCTGGCTGCACCGCCTCACACATTCAGTTCTGCTTGGGTGATACGAGTTTTATCTTCTATGAAATGGAGAATTTTTATTGTGAATTAATTAGACCGCTTTTTTTTCCTTCCGAAACATGAGCGCATTTAGGTCAATAAGCTAAACGCTCTACAAATGCAGAGGCTCCGTGACAGCCGAAGTTACCAGCGGCAAACCGGGCTTTCTGCACAGCTGACAGCGAGGGGCGCGCGCCCAGGGGCCTTCTGGAGCTGAGACCGCGTCCTCTGCTTTCGCTCCGCCCGCGGCAGGGGCAGCTTTTACTGCAGGGCCGAAGGGAGCGCTTCCATATTCTAAGAAGTTTTCCAACAGCCCGGCTAACAGATTAGGGGGCAAATTACTGCAGCCCAGAAGCTCCTGCCAGGTGGCCCAGGGCCCTCCACATGCCTGCCCCCTGGCCTGGGCGTGACGGTCACAGCAGGTGGGGGACAGATCCTGGAAACCTCCTCACGGCTTCTGGAGGAAGGAAATGGGTTCCTCTGAAATCTGTCCCAGCTTTGGCCCTGCGTCAACCGCGGGGCGTGCGGGCTCCTCCCCCTCGCTGTACGGCCAAGCGGAGTGTAAGGTAAAGGAGAATCGTCTCTACTATGCCAGTTCGCTTCACACACTAGAAATGAAGCTCCAG